ATAACTGAATCACTCTGTTGTACACCTGAAATACAACATTGTAAATCAACATTTCAAAAAAACTTTTTAAAGAGTAAATGTTTTAAAGCTCCCAAACCTTCCTAAATTTATCTATAATTCAATGCAATCATAATCAAAACCCCTAGTAAAATTTAAAGCTGAAAGGCTAAGTCTAGATTTATCTGGAAAAGTATGTAAAGAAAAATCAGAAAACAATGACAGACTTGCCTTACCAAATATCAAAACATAGTACAATCTACACTGATTATAGAGTCACAGACCAATTAGAAAACCAAAAAAGGCAGTTTACAGAAAAAATATACATCACTGGTCAATAAATACATGAAAAGATGCTTAATAAGTCATACTAAAGATATAAAACAATGGCTTTGATCAGGGGTTGGAACCATGGTCAGTGAACCAAATTCAGTTCACTGTCTGTTTTTGTGCAGCTGGCAAGCTAAGAATGTTTTTTATAAAAAAAAAAAAAAATCAAAATAAACATGGTCGAAAAGAATATCAAAATAAGCCTATTATTTTGTACTATGTGAAAACGATATGAAATTCAAATTTCAGGGTCCATAAATACAGCTTTGTTGGAAGGTAGCCATGCTCACTTGTTTATGTACTGTTTATGGTGGCTTTTGCATTACAAGGCAAAACTGAATAGCTGGAGAGAGACGGTATGGCCCACAAAGCCTAAAATGTTTACTATCTGGCCATTTACAGAAAAAGATTGCAGACCCCTAGCTTAATGTGTCAAAGATAAAAAGTCTGATAATACGCAATGTCAAGCAAAGATGAGGAAACAAAATCTCCCAACCGCTATCGGTGGGAGTGTAAATCCGTACAACTCTTTTTGCCGACAATTAAAATTTTAAATGCTCATCTGCTTTGACTCAGCTTTTACAGATGTAACCTAAAGATTCATTTGCACATGTGCACCGGGACTTAGTGATGTTCCTTTTGGTACAGCATTTTTTTAATAGCGAAAAGCTTTAAACAAGGTACCTTTCTGTCAGTAGGGGAATGGTAAACTAGACAGCCACATCATATAATTAAAAAGCCACTAAAAAGAATGAGGTAGTCTCCATGTCCAGATAAAGAAAAGGTGTTAAGTGTGATACACTGTAGCAAAGTGTAACTCAGTGTTAATTCTGTGCCCTCACTTGTCTTAACAGTAACCAAAAAAGGATACATTTCTATGTTTTATACTCACAGAAAGCTTCTGGGACAATAAATAAACAATGGCTACCTCTTAAGTTGAGAGACTGAGAGTCTGGGATCAGAAGGAAACAATTTTGCTGTATACCCTTCTGTCTTACATGCATTCTTTATCACAAGCATATTTTATCTCAATTTTAAACGACCTTGTGAACTAGGTATTTTTTGTTTTGTTTTGTTTTGTTCTGCGGTACACGGGCCTCTCACTGCTGTGGTCTCCCCTGCTGCGGAGCACAGGCTCCGGACGCACAGGCTCAGCAGCCATGGCTCATGGGCCCAGCCGCTCTGCGGCATGTAGGATCTTCCCGGACCGGGGCACAAACCTGTGTCCCCTGCAACGGCAGGCAGACTCTCAACCACTGCGCCACCAGGGAAGCCCAAGGTGAGTATTTTTATAATTTGGAATAAGAAAGAACTTTGTAAAGCAATGAAGTAATAGATCTGACTATGTAAAGACGTACAGAAACTATAAACAAAGTTAAAAGACACACAATAGGTTGGGAGAAAATGTAATATGTAATAAAGGACCTGTGCCCATTATATACAGAGAGCTTCCACAAATCTTTATGAAACAAAAACCAACAAAAATGATGAAACAAAATACAACAAAAATGAGGGGGAAAATGGATTACAGTCAAACCTTTAGCTGGGGATGTCAAGGTCATCTAGATTCGACCTTGCCTTTCAGTCTCATCTCCTGCTGTTGCCAACCTCACCCGCTCTATGCTATTCACACCAACTTGTAGGTACCCAACTGCGCCAGGCACTGTCATGCCTCAGAGGTACTGCACATACCTTCCCTCTACCTGCAACATTTGTCTGTCCTTGTTTATGAATTCCTCATCCTTCAAGGCTCAGCTCAACCACCATCTCCTCTGTGAAGCCCTCCTAGACTCCCTGAAGAGAACTGACCACTTTTTTGTGCCCCTGGGGTAATGTCTACCTACCTCTATTAGCCATGTATTTCCATATTGCCTTTGTTTGTCTAGATGTCAGTGTTCTCCACTAGACTCCAAGATGGCAAGCCATGGTTTGTTTTTCTTTTCCTTCTGGGACCCAGCACAATCTTAGGACACTAAGTACTTGGGAAACTTGGCCGGGGAGAGGAAGGGGTTCTTAGCAAGGACACTGTCAAGGCTGCTGGGCAGTGAAGACACCCCATCCCACCCCCGCCCCTCGGGAACTGTAGGCAGCCTTAGAAGTCTCAGAGGTAACCACAGGAGCAGTCACACAGGGGTCTACCTTGGACCTGAACTGATTCCCACCTCCAGGGAATCGCTGTCATTCAGAGTCTAAGGCTAGCGCCCCAACCCTAGAACCAAAGGTGGCCAAAACTGGTGTCCTTAGGAAACACTTCATGACAGAAGAAAAAGCAGGGCCTCAGGCTTCCCTGGTGGCGCAGTGGTTGAGAGTCCGCCTGCCGATGCAGGGGACGCGGGTTCGTGCCCCGGTCCAGGAGGATCCCACATGCCGCGGAGTGGCTGGGCCCGTGAGCCATGGCCGCTGAGCCTGAGCGTCCGGAGCCTGTGCTCCGCAACGGGAGACGCCCGCATACCACAAAAAAAAAAAACCCTGCAAGTATGTGACATCAAGCATCAACCCTTTCTTATCTATGAGTAGTTATTATTAACAGCAGCATGTGAGAAAAAGAACTGGGGTGTCAGTGGACCAAAAGCTTAATGAGTCACTGCTGTGATGGGGCTGTCCAAAAATCTTATTTCGATTCTGGTTGTACTAACAGAAATGTGTGGTCTAGAATCCAGTATCCTGGTCACACCCCATCTGTGTAGAGCTATGGGCATTATGCTTTAAGAAGGAGCCCTGTTCATTTCCAAAATATACAAACAGCTCACACAACTCAATAATAAAAAAACAAACAACCCAATTGAAAAATGTGCAGAAGACCTAAATAGACATTTCTCCAAAGAAGACATACAGATGGCCAATAGGCAAATGAAAAGGATGCCCAACATCACTAATTATTACAGAACTACAAGTCGAAACTATAATGAGATATCACCTCACACTACTCAGAATGGCCATCATTAAAAAGTCTACAAACAACAAATGCTGGAGAGGGTGTGGAGAAAAGGGAACTCTCCTACACTGTTGTGGGAATGTAAATTGGTGCAGCCACTGTGAAAAACAGCATGGAGGTTCCTCAAAAAACTAAAAATAGAGTTGCCAGAGGATCCTACAATCCCACTCCTGGGCATATATCTGGAGAAAACTGCAATTCAAAAAGATACATGCACCCCAATGTTCACTGCAGCACTATTTACAATAGCCAAGACATAGAAGCAATCTAAATGTCCATCAACAGATAAATGGATAAAGAACATGTGGTACATATTTACAATGGAATATTACTCAGCCATAAAAAAGAATGAAAGAAGGCCATTTGCAGCAACATGGATGGACCTAGAGATTGCCATACTAAATGAAGTAAGTCAGAAAGAGAAAGACAAATATGATATCACTTCTATGTGGAATCTAAAATATGACACAAATGAACTTATCTATGAAATAGACTCACAGACACAGATAACAGACTTGTGGTTGCCAAGTGGGAGGGCAGATGGGAGACGGATGGATTGGGAGTTTGGAATGAGCAGATGCAAACTAGTATATATAGAATGGATAAACAACAAGGTCCTACTGTAGAGCACAGGGAACTATATTCAACATTCTGTGTAAACCATAATGGAAAAGAAAATGAAAAAGAATGTATACACGTATGTATAACTGAATCACTTTACTGCACAGCAGAAATTAACACACTGTAAATCAACTATACTTCAATAAAATAAATTAAAAAAAAAAAAAAGGGCCCTGGCAGACACGTCAAACCATGGCATACACAACAAAGATGAGAAAACTAGGACCCCTTTCAAGGAGCTTAAGCCAATCCACAAAATTGTATATGCCTGAATTACATATTCTAAATCCAATCAATACCAGTTCAGATTGAGCTAAGTAGCAAATATCCCTGTTCTTTAAAGAGGAGGAAACTAAGGTAAGGGGTACCAGAATGAGTTAGCTCAGTGCTGGTTAACAACAATTTCATTTTTTTCTTTTTTTTCTCTTTTTTTGGTTACACAGTCCTACTAATCTTAGAAATCCAAGGCTCAACGCAATGCCTAATCAAATAATAACTAACTTTCCTTCTTTGGTCTTTAAATTATTCAGGATGGGTAATTCCTAAATAAAATGTTAACAGAAACACCTTCATGCTCTTTTATCTTCTTGCTATTCACATCTCATTCTATGTTCTAGACAGCTCTGGCAACAAAGACACCGAAGAAAATATTATTTACAGTAAACTTTATTTTCATTGATTTCACTTAACATAATTTCAAAGTAGGTCTGTGCTCTAGGATAAGCAAAAGAACAGATATCCTAAATCTCATTAACAGATCTTTTCCACTGTTCCTCTGAGTAGGGTACAGGGTTTCAGGGGCCCCAATGGCGACACCTTACATTTTATCCCTGGAGATTTTGCCTATAGATTCAGAAAGAACAGATGACACCAACATACAAGAATCAACTGTATGCTGCTACTATAGGAAGAAGCTCTTGTGCTACACTCTACCCACCTCTTTAGGGCTGTAATGATAATAACTGACTTTCTTCTCTGAAAAGTTGGGTTTTTTTGGTTTGTTTTTGTTTTAAGTAAAATGTCAGAATATGTGAAAATGCTGTACTTATTTATCTTAATATGCTAAAAATAGTGAAAATTTTAAAATTCTTCATGAGTCCAAGCTGGGCCATGACTACTACTGATGGGATTGACCCAACGCACTAATTCCAAGTTTGGCGACCATCAGCAAACTGTTCAAAGGAAACAATAAAAAAAAAAAATCAGATAAAGAACAGCACAGGCACTTGACTATTTTTAAGGGACTGGGACTCAGCAGGTCCCTCACAACTACATGGTGAGGAGGTGCCAAGGCAGAGCAAGCAGGGATGAACTCCCACCCCTGGAGGTGCCAAAGGAAGAACTCGTGAAAGGCAGTCCTGCACTGGGGCTTTGAAATCATACACGTGAGCTGAAGTTCCTAATCTAACAGCCAATAATTCAAAGATGAGAAAACAAGGCTGGAGAGACCAAGGCCTCCCCGGTCAAACAGGTCATCAGTGGTAGGTCTCCAGCCTCCCAGTTTACAGCTCTTGACCTTGGTCTATGCTGATTATAAAACATGATTCTTGACAGCATCATAACTATGATCAAAGTTGCGTAAGTACTCTTTTTCCAAAGCAGATTTTTAAAAATTCTATTTTGGGGGGTATCTTTATTATACTTAAAGACTACATTTTTAAGAACAATCTGGTTTGGATTTTATAATTAAAGTTAATTACGACTGACGTTAAATAGGATTCAATCAGAATTCCCTTTCAGCAAAATTTTCAATAATAAAGGACACCTTACAACTAAGAAACATGGACCCCACGCTGAAAGTCACACAAACGGCTGCAGTTGTGGCTTTGTACTGAAGCTTCCTCCACTGCAGAAAGGGGCCAGGATGGACCAGAGAGCAAATGTGAAAGCAAAACCATTTCCAAAGTGAACGAATATACTTATTTCATTTTGACATTAAATCTGCTGTTTTTGCAGCCTTTCCTATTTGTATATGAATTTAAATCATTTCAGTCGATGCTCAGCATCAGATATACTGAAACAAGTAAAATTTTGAATGTCTAAAGTGTTTTGGGCATTGAACTAGAACTAGCAATAGAGCAGAGGGTACCTGGCACCTGCAATTAAGCCTGCAGGCATAAATTTTCCAGAGTGGTAGAATCTCATTCCCATAATGCCAGCCAAGGTTCCAGATGTAACTGATGGAAAGATAAAAAGAGTCAAAGATCACTACATCTTACATGTTGGAGGATGAAAATGCGGCCAAACTCCCACCCATCTGTCAAGGGCCCAGACCTCATCTCATACCTCCACCTTCCCCAAGTCGGGGAGCTCCACAGCCACCCGCAGTCAACGGGACCAAGTACAAATACTGGAATCAAAGGCTCTCAGTGTCAGAGCCCAGCCTGCCTTTCCAGCCTCACCTCCTACCACTCTTCGGCCATAAATTTCTTAGTTTTCTCCTAAATTGCTGTAGGAGAAAACTACATTGTTCCTATGCCGATGCTATTTACCCTGTGTGCTCTTAGGCTCTTCCCGCTCGACATCTATTCAAATACCTACCACGTGCCATGCACTGCACCAGGTGCTGGGAACACAACTGTCATCAAAAAGATCTCTGCCCTAACGGCGTTTTGAGTTTGACAGGACTAACTTCAAAGAATCACACAAATAAAAACTTCGAGGTAGAATCTGTGCTACAGGCGCAATTAATGCAAATACAAATAACGTGATGAACAGGGGATCCAGCCCATGGAGGGAGAAGGACTTGCTGAGAAAGTGAAGATCGAGCTGCCATGTGAAGAGTCACGATTGACGAGCTCAAGGGGAGGAAAGCACATTCCAGGCAGAGGACGTGATATACGCAGGACCCTGCGGTGAGCGGGGCTGCTAGGCGTGGTATGGCACAGAAACCGAGACTGAGTGAGGAAGAGGGCCACAGCCTACAGAGCCTCGAGGGCCACGGAACGGACTGTGGTCTTCTTCCGAAGGGCGACGAAAAGCCACCAGAAGATATTACGCAGAGGGATGCATACAAAGAGCTGCATTCTGAAAATATAATTGTGGTTGTACCACAGGGAGCAAACTTCAGGGCAAACAGAGAGGAGGCAGGGTACCAACTGAGAAACTTCCTCGGGAATGCAGGCAAGAGGGAGGCTAACTGGGGCGTGGATGGTGGCCGCGGAGGTAGGGAAGGGGACAGCCTGGGGTACGGGCTGCAGGTAGCGTTAACAGGACTTGCTGATGAATCAGACAGGGATGGAGGGGAGGAAAGCAATGGAGACCCACAGGAAAGGAGGAGCCAGGAGGCCAAGCGCGCGTGAGGACGGGAAGGCAGGCTGGGCAGATGCCATGACACAGCTGAGCGCTTTCAAGCAGGCAACTGGATATACGAGAGTAAAGCTTGGAGGAGAGAGAAATTTGTGAGTCATCTGTGTGTCAGCGGTAATTGAAGACCTGGGCTTCAACCATATGTTCGCCAAGTGAGAGAGTATAAAGAAGATTAAAAGAGCCAGGGTTTAAGAACCTTAATATCTAATGGTCGAAATGGAAGACAGGTCAACAAAACAGACAAAAGGGAGTCAGAAAATAAAAAGGAAAAACAAGAGAACGGAAAATGGATTGGTGTACTGTGCTGAGAACAGCTAAAAGGCCAAATAAAATGAGGACTAAAAAGTGTACGCTGAATTTTGAAACATACAGGTTCCTGGCAGCCTCAGGGAGAGCTATTCCCGTGGACTAAGGGGCCAGAAGTGGAGGCCGAAGTGGGTTGAGAATGTGAGGTGAGGAAGTGAAGACGGGAGTGTGATGATTTTTTTAAAGAGAAGTTCCTGAAGAGGAAGCAGAAGGGCAGCAACTGAAGAAAGCAGCGGGGTCACGAGAGGTCCTTTTTTTTTTTTTTTAATGGGTGAGAGATGAGCACATTGGAGCATCAATGGGTGGGATCCACCTGAGAGGCAGGATACGAGGAAGAGCTGGCATCACTGACGGTGTAAAGCCCCGGGGAAGGTGAGGCAGTAGAGACCCAAAGCCTGGTGGAGGGACCAGCCTTGGAGACAAGAACCAGGACAGAGGAAGGCTTAGAGGCCGATGGCATGAGGGAGTCTCCACGTGACAGCTGCTGTTGTGTCTTCAAGCAGATGGTGAGGTTGTTCGCTGGGGTGTCAGAAAGGGGACAAAGGGGCCTGAGAGTAACTCCGGGGCTGCGAGAGAGCCGCCGAGCAGAGCTGAGAGCTGGGCGCTTCCTCCTTCCCAGCCCAGGCCGACTCGGACAAACCACTGTGACACCTGCTCCCTGTGAGGGCCAAAACTGCGTGCTTTCTCATCCTGTGGGTTTGTGGGGACAGCGAGGGGCCCTCACACCCAGCAGGGTGTCTGGCACAGGGTGGAGCTCAGGAAAAATGCACCAAAGCCACCCTGATAAGTAATCTTCCCCTCCCCGTGCCCCTCACCGTCTGTGCTGCCCACAGGACACGGCAGCAGCCTCAGTCACATTTTATGTCCCCAGTGAAGGTAAAGTCTCCTTGAAGGCAGGGCCTACATCTTACACACTTAGTTTACATCTAAAAGGCTAACAAATGATTTTCAAATGGGAAAAATGCAATACCGATGCAAACCTAACCCAGACACGTGGTCCTTCAGTGATGCTCAAGCAGACGGTCTCCAGTGGGCAATCACAATGGTTAAGAGACACATGCCTGCCTTACACAAGTTTAACACTTATTTCACTGGGTAAATCTACATTCATGAGGCATGAAAACCTTTCCATATTCTGTACATAAAAGTTAAGTCGAAACCAGCACAAGACGCCCACCCCCCGCCCCCATTTCAAAACTTCCCTAGGACTTGGCAGAAGCAGTAAAACTGTCGTAACGTGAAGAAGCTGCCACATCCCACCAACCAGGGATGCATCAGGGAGACGCTGAAACTGACATACCTAAGAAAACCCAAATGTTCCTTGGATCCTGAGACAGCTGATAGGCCCCGAGGCCCGCTAATCCACCGAAGAGAAGCCCGGCAGCCAGGGACGGGACACTGCCTGCAGGGAGGCAAACACATAGCTGCACTGCAATGGCAGACACTCATCTCACTGACAGAATCCACCAGACCGCCCTCCCTTACAGAGGAAACAGCAAAGAGAACATCTCTCAATGCGGTCCAGGACCAAGGCATTCTCAACCAGGAAAGTGTATGGGGGAGTTTGCCATTTTACCAGAGAGGTCAGGGTCGTACCACACGGGTCCTCTCTCCTCTAACAGGCAGGACACTTCCTCCCAGGGAGAAAGGGAGGGCTCCGAGCCAGGCCTGGCTGGAGTGCCTGCAAGGACTGCAACTCTCCATGGGCAGGACCTTGGGCTCATCCCCAAAGGAAACGGAAAGAGGGTCAGTGAGTTAAAAAATGATCTGGAGCAGGAATTCTGGTGTGTGTGATGGCAGGGGGGATGCAGGCAAGGAGTGGGGTGGAAACAAGCATGTTCACTGACACACCTGTGCCTGATTTAACGTGGAGACCTCAAAACTGCTTCTGAGAAGACTAGAGGTTTCCTTCTACTTGAAGAACAGAGATGGCCCTCTGGGGTCAAGGCTGATGTATGGCAGGTGATGATAATAACAATCTACTACCATCCCTCACCGGTATCTTTATCTAAAGAGTCAAAACACAAGTGACGGGACAAGAGGCCTGGTGTAGCTCAGCCAGAAAACCGCAAAGGCCAGTGCAGCTACAGGGCTGATAATAAGCCTGCACTCCAGCGAGAGGGCCTAGAGCAAACCTGACTCCAATAAGACTGCAGTCTGAGGACCCTGGGGACTCACTCTTCACCAAGAATAAGATTTTAAGAGGTTAAATAACTACAAACCGTACCTGCTTTTGCATAGCCAATGATGCCGCCGGAAGCAACCAGTGCTGCATAGCCAAAGCCGATCCAATGTAAAGGCACTCTGAAAACGGAACACTAAGAAATCAGTGCCAACCGCGTTAAAAACACAAAAAACAAATGAAACAGCATGAAACCATAGAATGGGATCAAAAAGGTCACCATTCCAGAACAATCCCATCACTGTATAAACGCAAATAAATCCCAGAGAGGTTAGATGGCTTGCCTAGAGTCAGTGGCAAAGCTGGGACTCGAACACAAGTCCCTGGCCTACACGTCCATCCTCCCACAGCCCAAGCTGCCCAGCAGTCTTGGCTCAGCGCCCTTTTCACATGGTGAAAGAAACTCTGGTTTTGAAAAGCTCCTGACTATTCCACCCCCATTTCACTGGGCACTTACAGTGGGCCAGAGTCCTTCTGCATTGTTCTCTTTCTCTCTGTCCAAATGGAAGATCACACCAGGCCTGCACCTGCGGAGGAGGGGCTGGATCAGAGGTAGTTAACAGCACAGCTCGCTAGCAGCCAGGAAGCAGTGCGTCCAAGTTCCAGCTCCAGCCCTTGGGAGCTAAGAAGAATGGGCAAGCCACCCAACGTCTCTAAGCCTCAGTTTCCTTCACTGCACCTACGCTGAGGATAGCAATGGTACAAATTTCCTAGGACTACTATGGGCATTAAATGGGATAATACGTAAAGGGGCTTTGCACAAAGTAACTGCTGAACAGATACCAACCGTTCTAGTAATAACCTAAATTCTAATATAACATAGGCCCACAGGACACTTCACTGACCAGCTCTGTACAGTTAATGAGCTAATCTCCTCAACACCTAACCAAATTATAACTAAACTGGAAAGTAAACACACCTCCTGTGCCCTTAATTCAAGTATTTTAGTTGCCCTTTCTGGGGGGAAAGGGTGCTGCTTTTCACCCCTGCCCAAAGAAGTGATTTCAATACTCAACATTTGTAAAATTTTCAGATGGTTATTTAACTTTGCATCACTCATAGTTATCGTTAGATGGGGGGCGAGGAGGAAGGATGAAATATACAAAGCCCAAGTCATAATTACGTAGAACACTACACCCTTGGCAAAGCAGGGTGTAACTCCTAATTTCTTAAAGAAATGCATCTGGTATCCAACGAGGCTAAGCTCGAAAATACATAACCTCTTCTGTTTAAATTACTGTCTATAATGGGGGGGGGCGCTTGGAATTGTACCACCGTCATTAATTCGACGTAACACTGAGTTACCGAGATTTTTAAGGAGATGGCCCAATAAAATCTCCAGGAAACGAATGATCTTGACGCTAAGCATCTGCCTCAGGAGCTCAGGGTCTCCGCAGGATTCACAACCCACTTTAAGGAAAGCAGGAAACGAGGGACTACACAAGCACCTACCACGCAGCCTAAAGCCGCCGCCTGGATCTGGAGGACGAAGAGCAGGCGGCAGCAAAGCCTCTCAACTCATTTCTAAAAGTCAAAACAGGTGTAAAATAATAGTAATAATAATTCCAAAGTACACGAACCTCCTTCCCAAAGGTCTGCACTAGCCAACGACAGCGCACACGTCTACGAGCCAGGAGTCGCACTCCTGCCGGAAATGTCGCAGCGCTTTCTCTGCGTCCGGGGGCGGGGCTTGGCACGGGGCGGGGCTAGAGGCAGGGGTCGCTGCACTCCGTGCGTCCCGGGGGCAGGGCATGGGGCGGGGCTTGCGCTGGATAGGCCGGCGCGTGCTGTTTGTCCCCGGGTCAGGGAGTCGCCGAGCGCTCCGTGTATCCGGGAAGCTGGGCGCGGTGCCGGCCGTCCAGCACTCGTCCCAGATCCAAGCCAGCCTGGCCTAAATCCGGAAGCCCAGGGTTGGAATCTAGTTTTGCAAGAGGCCTTTGCGAGCTGGGCCAGGTCTGCGGTGAAGGGGGGGGGGCTGCCACCGATGGGGGTGAAGGGCATCCGAGGCTGGATTTTGAAGGACTGCATCAACAGAGGGCCCTATTACCAGGTGTCAACCAGATGCAACACATCGGGAAGGACTGTCACTCTAGCCGATCACGTTATTTGCTACCATGGGAAGGGACTACTTTCTATCTGCAGAAGATAGGGTGGCCACTAGACAGGCTAGACAGTGTGGCTCACTTACCTGTTTCAAAGAGTGAGGCTACTTGAAAAGCATCTTAAAAGGGGACAGTGGGGGGCTTCCCTGGTGGCTCAGTGGTTGAGAGTCCCCTGCCGATGCTAGAGGACACGGGTTCGTGCCCCGGTCCGGGAAGATCCCACATGCCGCGAAGGGGCTGGGCCCGTGAGCCATGGCCGCTGAGCCTGCGCGTCCGGAGCCTGTGCTCCGCAACGGGAGAGGCCACAACAGTGAGAGGCCCGCGTACCGCAAAAAAAAAAAAGGGGGGGACAGTGGGTGAGTTACATTTGCAAGTACCTCTGCGATGCCCCCGTGGCCACACGTTATCTCCACTCCCACTGCATATCTGCTTCTCTTCCCTGCGTTTCCTGCACCACCATTCACTCAGCTTCTGTAACACCAAAATGTGGGTGGGTGTCACGTTTGGCATCTCTCTCTCTTTCATACCCTACAAGTAACAACAAGAATAGATCTTGTATACACAATCTTGAGTGAAAAAGCAAACTGCAGTGCATTGGCAACTGAAAAAAAAAATGCACAAGGAGACAGTTGTGAGCTAAGTTTTTTGGAGGGCAAAATGAGGACTATAGCCCCGGAGACAGCCTCTCAGGTAGCTCTGAGGAACTGCTCCGAAGAGGTGATGGCTGGAGGGTACGAGGAGCAGGTGTCTCTGTTAATGATTTTAGTGCTTTTCTAGATGTGAGAAGATGCAAGAAATTGGGCTCATAAAATCTTCCCCTGAAAATATCTAACTCTCTGAAGGCCTGTTCTGCCAGTTTTTCCCAGAGCACGGGGTGCCTCATTCCTGATCTCCAGCCAGAACTTTCAGGCTGTGTGGAAGGCAGTGGCTAAGGACCTAACCCTTGTAGAGGCAGATGGCGAGTGACAATTTTTTGTATGCAATTTTTTTTTTTTTTTTGCAGTACGTGGGCCTCTCACTGTTGTGGCCTCTCCCACTGCGGAGCACAGGCTCGGGACGCACGGGCCCAGCGGCCATGGCTCACGGGCCCAGCCGCTCCGCGGTATGTGGGATCTTCCCGGACCGGGGCACGAACCCGTGTCCCCTGCATCAGCAGGCGGACTCTCAACCACTGCGCCACCAGGGAAGCCCTGTATGCAATTTTATGTATGCAGCATACATACTCTGAAAGAAGACCTTCCACTTGCAGCAACTCCTACTTTTCAGATATCAAAAATGAAGTCTGTGTTTACCACATCTGATTCTAAACAACCAAAGCTGATAGTGACTAAGAACTCTGAGCAATTCCACTTAGGCCAGACCCTCAACAACTTAATGGAAGACTCACCTGAAAAAACAATGGCAGGGGCTTCCCTGGTGGCGCAGTGGTTGGGAATCCGCCTGCTAGTGCAGGGGACACGGGTTCGAGTCCTGGTCCGGGAGGATCCCACATGCCGTGGACCAACTGGGCCTGTGCGCCACAACTACTAAGCCTGTGCTCTAGAGCCCGCAAGCCACAACTGCTGAGCCTGCGTGCCACAACTATTGAAGCCCGCGCGCCTAGAGCCCGTGCTCAGCAACAAGGGAGGCCACCGCAGTGAAAGGCCCGTGCACCGCAATGAAGAGTAGCCCCCACTCGCCGCAACTAGAGGGAGCCTGTGTGCAGCAACGAAGACCCAACGCGGCCAAAATAAATAAATAAATTTTATTTTTTTAAAAAAATGACAGGACTTGCCTTAACCAGCTGGGATGATTTAGGGATTCATTTCTCCCTATGCAGATGCAAGCTTCAAACCTTAGTTAAGTCCACCATGATCCTCCCCCTGCCTTTCAGACTTAAAGAAATTGAACCACAGGGAATGTTACCTATAGTCCTAGCCCTTGGTTAAGCTGTTATTTGAAATAAGTTGTCCTACACCCTTAACTCTACTATAATGCATAGTTTCATGTGCAGTCCATCATAAAATATAAAATAAATGAAAGGAACCGGTTTCTGCTCTGTTTCAATTGGTTCCACACAAGGATTTGTGTTTAGTAATGTTTCTAGTTGACATTAGCATATTTTAGGAGATAGCTCAGCTCTTAACTAGGAGCCCACTGAATAGTACTGGAACACTGAACCACAAGTGTGTCATGGGGCGTGACGAAGACTGTGTGAGGGACTAAGTTTTTAGTCTCTGGCCACTGGGGCCTATCAATGGGATGTTTTTCTGTTAGTTTGTGTTCTGTTTTGTTTTGTTTTGTTTTGTTTTGTTTTGTTTTCACTGAGGCCTCAAGTCAGGATTGTCTGCTAGACACACATGTACACCCACCCATAACCAGAGCAATAAAGACCATCTGCCGCAAGAGAAGAGCTCATGAGGAAGGAATAGCGCTTCACTTTGAGCATTATTTTATCATTTTTGGAGGCTTGTATGTGTTGAATTTACACTTAAATAGACCTCAAGCAAAAATGGTCAAAATCAAATGCCAGTTGCAGTGTTGCAAGTCAACATCTACTGAGTATCCACAATACTAATTACTAGGTCTTTAGGAATATTTTATAGCTTTAAGATTGACATCATCCATTCAATAAAATTTTCTCCAAGAAATTAATAAATGAGATTATGAAAAAAACTGCCTATTTTTTTCAACCTACCCTATCTGCCACGTGCTTCTAGGACCTCATATATTAGAGCCATAATAATATGAGCAAAGCATACAGTGTGCTTATTACACGCAGGGCACTGAAGTGCTTGACATCGGCAAACTCATTTAATCTTCATAGCAACCCTATGCAGTAAAGACTATTACTTTCTTCTGCTTTTATACATGGAGGAAATTAAGGCAGAAAGGGAGCTGGTATAAGGTCACACAGTAAAGGGTAGGGCTGCCTAACTCCTCTAGTCTGTTCTCTGTACCGTGACCAGGACAATCCTGTTACAAATGGGACTGCGTCATTCCTCAGCTCCAAACCCTCCAGTGGCTCCCTTACCTCCTGCAAAGCCCTGCACACCTCCCTCCCGGACCTCAGCTCCTATTGCCCTTTGCTGATGCTGCTCCAGCCTCCTTGCTTGCACCTCCGAGCACTTGCACATGCAGCTGTTTCATCTGCCCGGAACCCTCTTCCCATATAATCTCTCACTCACTCCCTCACCTCCTTTAAATCTTTATTCTAATGTCACCTTCTCAGTGAGGCCTTCCAGGATCATCTTATTTAAGACTACGACCATCTGCATTTCCTCCCGTAGCTTATTTTTCTCCACAGCACTTACCTCCTAAGTGGTATATAACTTACGAATTGCAATCACCTCCCCTCTCTAGCATGCAAGTTCTCCAGAGTGAGGATTGTTGTCTGGCACAGCAGGGCTCCACAAGCAAGCGTTGAAAGGCCGAGGACATGTAGTGAGAAGTCAGCAGCTGCTTCAGAAAGAGGGCAACCGGCAGAGTCAGAGACAGGAGGGAGAGATGGCCCTGGCTGCGCCCTGCCTCTTTCTGAGGTCTGGCTCTCTCCCTGCCCCGGCCTGTCAGACACCTGTGTCCTTGTCATAAACCCCTCCCCGTGCCTTCTGAAGTTTGGGATAGCCAGTTGCTTTTTGTTTCTTGCAGCCTAGTCTTTCTTAACCAAGGCAGCATCCCTTTCCCTCTGCCAGAAATGCCTTTTTCTCCTTGTTCAAAACTCAGTCTCATCTCTTACTGAAGTCAAGCTGCCACCAGCCACCACAGGCTGTAATACATTTCTTACCAAAGCTCTTGTCCTTTGTGTAGGGATTTTCTTTTTTTTTTTCCTTTTCGGCCCCTAGAATCTAGGATAGTGCCAGGTACGTGGTGAACGTTGCTCAACACAGGCCCAGTGAATAAACAAAATGGAGAGTGGAGATAGAGGTGGCCTTCAGGGATTTCAAAATACTGAGGAGTGAATTTGCAATAAGAAGCTTCTCATACATTAATATCAAAGTAGACAATCCAGCACAGAGATGGCTGCGATTATAAACGGACTATACATTCCTAGGAGGAAAAGAAAATGAACCTGACTCCCCCCAAAATAGGTATTTTTTGATACAAACTGGTTTGTACAATGGCCTCCAAGTACACTACCAGGGAAGCTCTGCCAGAGGTCACTGAGCAGACAAGCGCAGACCAAAATAAAATGCTCGAATCACATGGTTTATAGCAATTTTGTATGTAATTGCCAAAACTTGGAAGGAACCAAGATGTCCTCCAGTAGTGAATGGTAAACTGTGGTACATCCAGACAACGGAGTATTATTTATTACTAAAAAGAAATGAACTATCAAGCCATGAAAAGACACAGAGGAAGCTTATATGCACGTTAGTAAGTGGAAGAAGCCAATCTGAAAAGGCTACAATACTGTATGATTCTAACTATATGATACTGTGGGAAAGGCAGAACTTCGGAGATGGGAAAAAGCTCAGTGATCATCAGTGGTGGAATTGGGGAGAGATGAACAGAACAGAGTGGCAAATCTGTCCCTTCTCTCAATATTGTTATAAACCCAAAACAGCTATAAAAAAGTAAAGTCTCAAAAACAAAATAACCAAACCTATATTCATCTTTGTCTACAGGCCTGAAGTAAGATAACCAAGAGTTGGATGGAAATGTCAGACACATGGTTTGGTTCGTTTCCTAGATGATTCCCTCTCATGAAGTGAGCGGCACTTTAGTGTCCAAGTGTTAAGATCCTCATTTTGCCTAATCAGGAGGGAGTCCCCTGCTGGCCTCGGGGATTTAACATCTTCCCAGCTAAGTCAGACCTATGAATCCTCTACTACTGTGTCTCTTCAAACCTTCCAGCAAAATCCATTAAGGAAAATGCTTTAATTTTCTAGGTAAGAAAAGAGTATCATCAACGGCTAGTTTTAAGACCACCTTTGTCAGAAGATTAGCTAAGTGAGTTTTCTGATGCCCTGAAACAGATGGGAAAATAAAAAAAGGAAATGTCATTTTCCTGTCCTTAAGTTACCTCGTAAACAAACCACTGCTTGGAAACAGAATAGTTACATGAAGTCTGGAAGCCTCTCTTTAACCTTCTTATGTACATAGCCCTAAACTTAAGCATATGCTTTACACATACATATTTTATTTTATATATCTAATTTTTAAGCTTGTCTTAACATACTTCCTGGTATGAAAATCTTTTTATATCTTTTGTTACCAAAACAAACAAAATCCGCATTAAAATTACTAGAACCACGTGAAAAAGCCAAAGTAATGCAGGTTTTTCATTCTTCCCTCACTTAGGAGAAAAATCTGAAAAACAATTCCTTTATCTACTTCTGGTAAAGAAATGCATTCAAGATTTTGTATTATTTTAAGCTATAATATTTTGAGAAAGATCTTTATTTGCCTTACACAACAGTAAAAATTATATATTACACGTTAACATACTATATATTACCATGATATATAATAAAATACTGCCTAACAAAAAGTTTTACCACTGTTTAAAAAAGCAAAATCCTGAAAGTGATTTTTAAGCTGTACATTTTCTTCAAAAGAAGAAATTCCTAGCTTTTACTCAGGAAAAAAAAAGTACATTTGAAAGTTTTTCTCTTAGGAGAAATCCGGAATTCACTGCATCATTCATATTTTCTTCTTTTTGCTCTTCTTTTTTTCTAACATTTCTACTGTTTTCCTCTTCTTGGTTGACACCAGGCTGCTTCCTTTTGTTGGCTTATTACTGTCACCAGTTAAACCGCATTTCTTCGTGTCAGGTTTTAGCTGCCTTTCTTCCTCCTGGACTTCACGGCCAGATTCCTTTCTTTTCCTTTTGGACTGTTCTTGTTTACTTACTAAAATACAAGAGACAGTGCATTTAAAGAGTGCTTTTCCCTTTGAAATAAACACAAGCCCACAATAGAGTAAAGTCATCTGGACCTCCTCCACTTTAATGATTCAAAGAGAGAGCAGATTATTTAGTTTCTGTAAACAATCAATTTCATTTACCAGGAGATGGTTCTACAGCTGGAAGCAGGCTTCCTTTCGTGTCTGTCACTCTGTCCAGCCACACTCCAAGACATGTCAGCCTGGCATTAGTGTTTACTTCACACAGCAAAGACGGGGAAACCCCCTAAAACAGGAACGGCAATTCGTGATAACTAACATAGAGAGATTTTAAATAATTACTTTCATTTTTCCATAAACATGTTACCTTAATTTAAAACTTACACTGTATTTTGAGTATAAAATATACTGCCTAGAAGAAACGTATTATCTTGATTCATGATTGGTTTGACTAAGTCCTTCACGAGAGCCAATTTCTAAGAAGGGCTCTGCTAAGGAAAGCGACCATTTTATCGTGGTCATTTCAGGGTTTAACAAAGAACCATGCACAAAGTAGGTACTCAACAAACCACATTCACAGAATGTGTTTATAAGAGAATGAAGAATAATAAACCAAGAATCTGTAAGAGGGAGACTCTACCAAAGGGAATTTAAATTTCCAATTATCTGTTTCAAAACTACTGTTAGTTCTACAACTGATCAAAAATTCCCCATTTTTTTTCCCTTAGTAATGGCACTATGTTTATTTAACAAAATCTTACAGAGAACATCAATATACAAAAGAGAAGAAAGTCATGCTTCTCTGATTTAAACAGCAGGAGTTCTGGAATCCTGCCAGCTCAGACTCGCCAATACCAACTCCTGATGTGGTGCTACGGAACCCTTTTAAAACCATGAATGTCAATCATGCCTGGAAGAAATTTTAAAAGTTTAAAGATCTATGCCTTATGACCCTTAAAAGAAATTCCACCTCACTTAACTCAAAATTAATATTGACAGTAAGACTCCCATTCAGTGTATTTACATTGTGCTGAGACACTGACCTTGTCCTCTTTGAGCTTCCACATTTTGATGAAACCATCACTCGATGCTGTAACAATAATATGATGCTCTGGAGTTTCAAAACTGAACATGTCTTTTACCCTAGGATAGAAATAGTAACACCATAAAAGACCCTTTCTTCCAGATAGTATGATACTGCTAGAAAGCTTCTATGCACAGTCTCTTGACTTTTCAATGCTTCAAGTATTTCCAAACTGCTCAATGAACGGTGCCTAAAATTTAACATGCTTCACGCTCCCATGAGTTGGTGAGTCATTTTCAGGGTCTAAATTCCAAGATAAAATTGACTGTCAATGATACCTTAAGAAAAAGTTGAAAAGATGGTGGCAGATAACTATAAATCATCAGATTATCATAAAGGAAATAAAGATACTTAAAGCCCCTCACCTCAGGAAACTACAAGGTCAGTACCGAGAGAAAAGACAACAGAGATGACCCGAGGCCTTCTCCTCTGCATCCGTTTTTCTTGTCCTCAGTGCCGCCACCTACAGTCTAAGCTACTATCATTTTCCTTCTGGACTACGGAGTAAACTAATTGGCCTCGCTGCTTCCATTTTTGCCCCCTCACAATTTTAAAAAAATCAAACCATGTTACTCCCAGTCTTAAAATTCTACAAAGCTTGGATCTGCTTTAAAATAACATGGGAGAGGGAGGAAGTGGTGGGACATAGATAAACCAATATCTACAAAGGCACTCAGTATAAAATTCAAACTCCTCACCATGACTTGCAAGGCCATGCACCATTTGGCTCACTCTGACCCAGTCACATGGGTCTTCTAGCTGTTCCTAAAATACACCAAGTTCTTTCCTCCCTCAGGGCCACTGTGCCTACAGTTCTCTCCTCTTTTTAGAAATAGCTCCTTTATCCCTAAGGTCTCACTCCCCCTTCCCTTATCAACCTATCTAAATAAGTTACCCGTGTTATTCCCAAATCATAATACCCATTTCCTTCCTGTTACAATTACCTGCTTGTTTATCATCTCTCTGTTGCCCCACTACAAGATAAGAGCCAGGAGGGTGCAAGCTCTTGTTGCAGTATTTCATTATGGATGCTCAGTGAATACTTGTTAAATGAACGAATGGCCAAATTTCATAAGTGCTATATGGCCTTGAAGAATATGTTCATTTCTCAATACAGGGGAAAACTAGCGCCTGTCTAATGATTGCAGTATTCTGAGTATTTACAAAGAGAGATTTCTTAAAGCTGAACTATTATTTAGAAAATAAAAACTAAGAATTGTCTGAAACATAAAAGAATATGCAAATAAAACACATTAAAGTATAACCATCCATAATCGACTTTTTCAAAATTACAGTTGGAAACAGCAGAGGCAGACTCAGACAGAACTGGGTTGACTCCCAGCTCAAACACCTAACAGGGGGGTAATCTTGGTCCAGTTACTTAACCGTTGACTCTGAGACTCACATTTACCCCCAGAGATACAGTGAGCAAGAGATAACAAACTGGCACAAGGCAGAGGTCAATATGGCATTTATTTCTCCTGCAGGAAAAACAAATAGCGTAGAAAGGCGCTAGAAGTGGACAAGGAGAATAAAGTAAAAGGACAAGAGTGGTCAGGGGCAGAGCTCAAGATTGTTTAATTGTTTTTCCCTGCTCAAGTATGGATTGAGGATTTCAGGCCTCAAGTCTAATGAAATTATTGGGAAAATAAATATCTTGTGCACGTGACTAGTCCTGATGACAACTTCACCACTTCTGTATCACTCAGGCCAAGACAACAACATGCCCACCATCCTCTTAGGTTCCAGAAATCATATATACGTACATATGTCTGACTATGTCTGCGGTCGTTCATAAAAAACATACACCCTGCTTTATGAAGCTACTGCATTTATAAGAGATTCTACACGTACATGCACACAGAGATTAGTGAAAAAAATACCTGTTTTCATGAGCTTTAAATTCAGAGAGGCACATTAGTGAATCACAGTCAAAAAATCTTACAACCTCTTCATCTCCAGCCACTGCAAGGACAGATTCCTAGGAGAGGAAAAACAGAATACTATCCAGAATGTCATCAACAATTCCAACCATCACCACACATACTAAACTCCCATCACTGATTTCCGATCACTTACTGAAAGAAACGTAACAGAAGATACTCTCTTTTCATTTGTGATGCTGCCACTGACGGATGCAGTGTCAAGCTGATAGACATCTATTTTGTTCAGTATGACAACTACGTATTTCTCTCCTCTTGGGGACCATTCCACTATGTGAGCATCTGTAAGTTAAAAGCACAAAGCTGTTGTATTTCATGAATAAAAAAAGAAATTGATCAGGGTCATAATAAAAATAGCCAATATTTACACTGCATTTTCACATCCATTATCCCATTCAATCTTCACAACAAACTTATAACACGTATTTTGTGAGTTAAATTGTAGACAATGAACTGGTTCCAAGACTCATTAAGGTCATACCGCTGGAAGGTGGCAGAGCCACACCAAGAATCCCAATCTAAAGTGGGAAAAGAAATTAACCTAAAGCATTTGCTCTCAGAGGGAACCAACACTGCGCACAAAAATAAATGTATATGTACATGCTCACAAGAATGTGTGTATATACGTTCACATCCCATCAAATTTTCAAATACATTTCAAACAAAAATACTCACTTTGTTTTATGTTTTTTATGAATGCCGATCTTCCTTCCACAAGATTCCATGTTCTGCAAAACAGGAAGCTCATTTACAGCATGATCACCAACTCTGACCAGGTATAAAGGTAAGTTTAAGGAAGACTCAAATGAAAATTTACTAACTACTTGGCTATTCAGAAGAACTGCCTTCTTTCTTACAGCACCATGTGAAATATTATCAAGCAAGATTAAAACTCGCTCTGTTCCCACAGCCCTTTCCTATGTATGCTGAGTCCACTGTATTTTCAAAAGGTTTCACCCCCTAAAGCTCTTCTTTTTAGGATCACCCTCTACTTCACAGCTTACAACTGCAATGTAACTTGCATGTTTGAATATAGAGCTTGTCGGTTTTTTTCCATTATGAAAAGGTTCACTAGCTTTCAACCTCTCCCTTGTGTCAAAATATCATCAAATGGCTGACAATGTGAGACAATACAGAAACAGAATCTAATTACTATAGTAAAAGATGTCCCAGGGGTGGGTTCTTGTTATACTTGGAGAACAAAGACCACAGCTTAGTAAAGGTACTCTTGGGCCTTAATGACTTACCTTAATGTCTTATCTGTACCCACAGACAGGGCCAACTTGCCAGACGGGTGAATGGAAAGGAAGGTCACATGTCCTCTAAAAGGAAACTGACAGTTAGTCCCCAACCTGACTGGCACCTGGAGACCACCGATGGGGAAGTCTGGACTCACTTGTGAGCTTTAATCGACTTCAGGCACTCCCATTTCTTTGCATCCCAGACACAAATGAGGCCGTCCTCTGCCCCGCTGATTAAGTGCCTGTTGCCGTGGAATTTCAGGCAAGTTATGGTGCCTGTGGAAAAACCAAGACAGGCAAAACTAACATTCATTTAGAGTGCAAACTCCATTTCTGGTTTGAAGGCTATGCTGCAGTCAGAAAACATCCAATATCTTAATATTACTGAAACATGCCTCAAAGTGTCGGGTGAAGAAATTAATTTGTTTTTCATCTAAGATCACACAGTTTCAAGCCTATGTAAATATTTTCAGCAAAGAGTTTCTCTACAGGTTTGAACTAATCAGTTCACTTTCTTGCTTTACATCCCCATAATCATGAATTTCGGAGATGGCTGGCTAGGACAGTTTGAGCAGAAGTCAAACAAAACTAACCAACTAATCTGGGGATCAAACCAAGATGCACAGCCATATGACTTCTACTTTCCAAACAGTGAATTAGCTACCCAACCATCCATAATGCAGTTATTATGCCTTCAGAGCTATTTTTGATTTGACTTATACACAGTTCTTATTCACTGTCATAAGAATTTGTTACAATTTCATAAAACAATACACTAATTATGGCTTCTGTATTCTCCTTCCATGGTTAACAAATCTTCCTGCATCTTTTCAACTTCTTTACAAAACATTGCACTCCCTTCCACTCAAACGGAAGCCTGGATCGCCCATGAATTTCCCCTACAGCGCTCCTCAAATATTAAAAGGCTGGAGTGAGGTGAGGTGATGGAAGAACCCAGTACTCAATCTCCCAAATCAGTCCTCAAGTAAGATTCCTTATCCTCTGAAGTTTGTGTCACCCAGCTTAATTGCCCTAGAGTTGAGGAGTCAGCAAACCATTGCCTGCCGGCCCCATCTGGCTGGTGGCCTGGTTTTGTAAATGCAGTTTTACCGGAATATAGCCATGCTCACTCAGTTACAAAATGTCTACGGATGCTTTGGCACGGCCAAAGTGAGTAGTCGTAACAGAGACTGTACAGCCGCAAGGCCTAAATATTTACTATTTTGTCCTTCTCAGAATAAGAGTGTGAACCCCTGTGTCATTACTGTCCATCTGCACACCTCCTGGTCAATCCTTTACGCTGCCCTTTATATTGAAAGAGCCAGAGATCTGTGAGGAATAATTCTGCACCCCCAAAAAGCACTAATAATGTGTGGGCTTATGGACTCCCTTCTCCTCAAAGTGGGAAACTTCAGCCACTTTGCCCATGTTTCCCTCCTTCCCTACTTCTCATTTTGGGAATTTTGCTTTCCCACATCTTCTACTCCTCCTTTCCATGACTCCATTTGTTCCCTGGAAAAGAGCTTATCTATTACCAACTGTTAGAAAAACAGGATTTGTACCAGGAATGAAGGAAATCAGGAACCTTATTTCATTCATCCCCTATCCAATTTCTAAGTCCCTTCTTGTTGAACACCTCTACCAATGGGTTTGGACAGACTAGACTCGTTTAACTTATTTCCTCCAAGCCTAAGGGAGAGAGGAGGCTTCCTTGTATGAACTGGGATTAGGAGACAGAGAGGAAAAGGAACGTACATTGAAATCACTCAGAGCCAAGCTTCTGCTGAAAAGCGAGACACCTGTCAAAGTAGCTAAGGACCATCTAATATAAGAAAGACGTTGATCACTCTAAATTTACTGCTAGAAACCAATGCTTGGTGTGGAACTTCTGAAATATATGAAAGATAGTGTAAGAAAAAGGGTACCTGTCTTTATCCGCCTTTCATTGCAGGAAACTAACTTGCCTGGCTGAGTTTCCTCAAACTAAGTATGTATTTAAGTGATTCTACTACCTTAAGTTCTTTCTTCCTTTCCCTTTTCCTTCTGGAACACATGTGAAACCCCTCCTTCTCTGCCCCCTGGGAAAATGCAGTGAAAACAGCACATGATGTTCAATACCGGGGAAAAAAATTACCTGTTCAGTCTTTCTGTCCCTTGGTCCTCCCACTACCCCGGTCAACTGCACCATCAGCATGGAACACACAACCGTGGCTTGCTGATCAGCACCCCCGACCTCCTCGATGCCAGTAACCTTCGCCTCCTCTGTATTTCGTCCCTCACCCCCCCTACAGCCAGGACACTGTTACCACCGAGAGCTTTTCCACATTAACTCTACCCTCTGACCACAGTCTCACGTCGTCCCAGCCCTTCTTCCACTCACAATCCACCTGCTCTTTCTTTACTCTGGAGATCTGCAGACCCTTGACACCCTATCTCCTCTAGGCTGACAACCTATTCTTTCTCTGAAACCCTCAATTCCCTTGTAAATCGATCCTCTCTTGCACACGTCAAGTAACCATCCTCTCTCTGCAGAAATGTCTGTGGCTTACTGCAAACACATGCTAGTCCATCCACAGCCTCCACCCTCAGTCAGGCAGGCCCTCGTCAGTCCTCTACTTATTCCTGGCACCTCTCCAGGAGAGGCATCCAAACCTCGAGCACTTTCCTCAGCGCTGCTGCCTCCTTCTCATTCAACCCCCAACCTCCTCCACGCAAGGGCCCCCCGAGATCTGGCTCCACCTACTTCTCCAGCCACTCCCACCTCCATTCCAATCCTCTCATAATAGCGAGCTCCTTACAGCTCCCCAGACACAGCAGTGGTTAAAAATACAGGCTCTACGGACTTCCCTGGTGGTCCCGTGGTTAAGAATCCACCTTCCAATGCAAGGGACGCAAGTCTGATCCCTGGTCGGGGAACTAAGATCCCACGTGCCACAGTGCAACTAAGGTCACACGCTGCAACTACTGAGCAGGAAAGCCACAACTAGAGAGCCCGTGGGCCACAACTACAGAGCCCATGCACCCTGGCGCCTGTGCACCATAACTAGACAGAAGCCCACGCGCCACAATGAAAGGTCCCACATGCCGCAACAAAGATCCCATGTGCTGCAACTAAGACCCGACGCAGCCAAAAAATAAAATAAATAAATAAATATTTTTTTAAAAAAAAACAAAAAACGGGCTCTAGACCTAGGGTCAAGTTCCAGTTCCAGTGTTTTGTGACTCTGGGTGAGTCATGTAACATCTCTGAGCCTAGGTTTTCTCTTCTGCGAACTGACGATACAACTATACCTTCCCGGCATACCGCTGGGTACCTGATGGACCTCAATAAAGTCGGCTCTTCACGTGATGCTACCACTTGTGCTCGTCACACTGCCTGCTCTGCCTGGAATGTCCTTTTCTCCACCTTGCCAGTTTCACCTAGCCAACAACTGATACTTTTCTTATAAAATTATGCAGGTGTCATTTTAAGGAAGTTTTCAATGAAAACTCACTTCCTCCTCCTTGCGCTCTAGACTGAGTTAAGTGCCTCCCTTCTGTCCCAATACAGACTGTGAATAACTTAAGGACAAAGAACCACATTTTTTCCATTTCTACATTTCCTAGCACAGAATCTGCTACGTATCAGAAACTTAATGAATTGTTCATCTGAAGTCAAACTGTAAAGTAATAATACCTCAACATTATTGTCTTGAAGAATACAGTGTTCTTACCATTGTGATGCACTAGAGCCCCATGGTCTATCTTCTTTTTCATGTCATAAATGTGAATGGTTTCATCTTTGCTCCCAGTGACTACAAAACGGCTACTGACAGCCACTGCTGACAAGGAGGCAGTGTGGGCATGGTGAGTGAAGTCGGCCACGGGAGTCCATTTCTGCTAAAGAGTGATACATACAGTCAGTGACATGCCACGATTGTATCGTAGTTCTCTACAAAGAGATAAGTGGTTTCACAATCTGTGAAAACTCTCAACAGATCCTACAAATGGAGAAAAGACTATGCGATGAAAGGTAGATTCACACAAACAATCTGAGAGTTGAATAAGGAAGGTAAAGCAGGAGATGGGAAGGCATCGCTGAGTATCAAAACAATTATGAAGACTGGGCTACAGGGACTTTAAGGTCCCATCCAAATCCTTAACTCCTCAATATATTTACTTAGACATGACACTTCCATACCAATCATTCACTCAAATGTCCAAATCTTGATTTGAATTTATTCACTCAAATACTGAATGACTACTATGTGCTTGGCACCATTTTAGGCAGTTGATACAGGGCAGTGAACAAAAGAAACAAAAGTCCTTATCCTAAGGGAGTTGCCATTCCTGTGGGAAGGACAGACAAGACACAATACGATGTCACAGAGATAAGTATCAATGTAACAACGCCTATAAAGAAAAATGTACAGGATTTGCATTAATACCAACATAAGCCCTAGAGAATGACCAATGATGAGGTCTTGAGAACTCTATGCTTGCTGCCATGAAACTTCTGGATTGGATAAGTGTGACTAGTTCAGTGCGAAGGATGACGGCTGAATACACACACACATACCCCACAAATTAAGGGAGATGCATCAAGAAGTATTAGCAAAACAAATAAACCAACAAAGAAAAAAAAATCACCAAACATGTTTGAACACACTTAGGATGTGTTACTGCAAATTAATTCCTAAAAATGACAGAAGGATAGTCCTTCCGTCAATCAGAACCCAGGGGGCCTCTTTTGAGTAAAGGTACAACATTCCTGAAGAGCTGCTATGGCCATAAATCAAAGAACAACCTTTGCTTGTGCATATTGCAGAAGGAAGGCTGGTTATCTGGAATATTGCCTGACTAGGTTTAGAAGCAGTACTGGGTAATGGTTAAGCGCTTCAAGCATCAGAGACACCTGGGAATTTGAGTCTGAGGTCTTCCACTTATTAGCTCTGTGGCCTCGCTTAACCTATCTCAACTTCTGGTTCCTCATCTGTAAAATGGGAATAACTGTATCTGCCTCAGAGGGGTGCTGTGAGGACTACTCTGTGTCTGGAACATGGAACGCAACGTAATTACACAAAGAACACAATCAGTAGCATCATCTTTGAGTATTCAAAACACGTACCTTTCAGCCAAAGGCAGATTAACCACCAGAGTAGAAAACAAAATAAACAAAAACAATCAGTCAAGTCATATACTTCCAATTTTCTAGTTAATTCAAGACTGACACTTTGACTTCTTCATAAACAAGTACTCAATGAAACAGGTTTCTAGGAAATACCTAGGACTGCTTAGGGGGAAAAAAAAAACAGCACAGGACTAAAAGTTAAGGGATCTTGCTTCTAGTCCTGGGTATGTCCTATCTGCTTGACTACTGCTACTTTACTTAACCTTTTAACGCACACACCCAGTAAAATTCTTACATTTTGTTGTAATTTTTCTGCACGTGTTTGCCTCCCTCATCCTCTCCTCATGTCGGGAAGATCTCCAGTGCAGGATCCATGCCTTTGGCTTCTTTGCACCTTCACTGCAAGTACTGGCCTCACCGTAAGGGCCCAATAATGAACTGCTGTCACTCTATATCTGTGAGGGGTTTTTCCGGATTTAGCTCAAATATTTTGTAAAATACCGGAACATAAATTCAGTGAAAGAGCGAACTGTTCTTTCATTAAATCCTGAACACCTCACGGGCTGTCAACTTGGATTCATAATCTACGGCCCACTGGCCCGTTTGCAGAAATGCCAGCTTCCTTCGTGCACAGTAGTCAGAATGCTTACTACGAAAGACAGACAACGTCTCGTCGTATGAAATGCCTTCTCCGTGTTTTAAAAGGCTAACGTGTATTTTAAGTCTCCTGAGCTTTGTCACCGAATCCCTAAGAAATCAGACAGTGCGCTCCCTTGCTGCGCTGTGGGAACCAGACCCGACGGTGCCCGCCCCACCCGCGGCGGCCCCTCCCCGCGCGGGCTCTCACCTCATGGTCGCCGCTCGCCTTGGGCTCCAAGTGTACAGCGAACCCAAAAAGTACCTGCTCGTAGCATCCAGCTACCAGCTCCATTCTGCAGGACACGCGGCCCCTCCCCGAGGCAGGCTCAGCGCAGACCGGTAGTGACGAAAGCGGATGCAAGGGGGAGGAAGGGGTCCTTCCTGCGTCGGCGCTCAAGTTTACGTCAAGATCGCGGGGCTGCCTTTTAGGCGCCTCCATCCGTGGGAGGAATTTCAGGGCTAGAAGATCACGCGGAATTTCCAAGAAGGGAATAAGGAAGGACGCCCCATGACGAGATTCTCATTTCAAGGAGGAAAAAAAAAAAAAAAAAAACCTG